TCGCAGAAGGCGCTGCTGCTCGAGCTCAAGGGGCTGCAGGAGGAGCCGGTGGAGGGCTTCCGGGTGACCCTGGTGGACGAGGGCGACCTGTACAACTGGGAGGTGGCCATCTTCGGGCCCCCCAACACCTACTACGAGGGCGGCTACTTCAAGGTGAGCCCGCAGCCCGCGTCGGACGCCGCGCGCGGCCGGGGTGGTCCGGTGCCCACGCCGGGGTCCCTCGGACCCTGGGGGGCCCCCGAGGACTTCGCAGTCTCCTCCAAGGAAGGTTCAGGCCCCCGGAGAGGAGGCCCAGGGCCTCCGTTTTTGGCTCGGGTATGGGGTCCTGGGACGGCTCAGCCCCCGGTGTCCGTCCCTCCGCCCTGCCCTAGCTGACCCAGGCTTCAACTGCCCTCCCTGCCCCCTGCCCGAAGGAGACAAAGAGGCCACCCCAGAACCAGCAAGCACTATTGTTGGGGAGCGCCAGCCTTGGGGGCGGGAGCGAGGCCAGCAGGGTGCGGGTGGGGGCGCGGCTGGCTCCGGCCACTTGCTCGGGTTCCAACAAAGGCCTGGACGGGGCCTTGGCAGCCAGGACCCGCTTGTGCTTGGAAAGCGGCCACCCTGGCTGGGTGCAGCGGGCCAAGCCCTCGCGGCCTCCTCCCCAGCTTTACATAACCACTTCTACCCGGGAACCCTGAGGGCCGTCGCTCCCATCCTGCAGCCTGCCCCTGGGAGCCCCCTCCGACCCCAGGCCTCCGGCCCCACCCTCACCCCAACTGGCCTTTCTCCGGTTGGACTGAGCAGGTGGCTTCTGGAGGCCAGAATCCCACTCTCCGAGCTGTTTCTCCCACCTCCGAGGTGGTTGAGTTGCAAACAGTTCCTTTCTGTTGTTGTTGGGATGAGGGGGGTGAGTGCTTTCCGTGGGACCACGACAAAGGACTCGGGCCAGAACCCCGGGCGGATTCTGACCTCAGGATCTGAGCCCAGACTGGCCGGGGAAGGACCGAGCACTCTCCCATCACGGGGTGGCCTTTTCGAGCCAGCGGCACGGGCTAGGGGGGTCTCCCTGCGGGAGAGGTGGAGAGTGAGCCATCAGCGTCCCAGCCGCCCATCGCCACCTGCCAGCAGCAGGCCGGGCCCTGCCAGGCTCTGCCGGGCTGGAGGCCGAGCGGCGGGGGCGGGGCGGGGCGGG